CCACCAGCAGGAAGTAGCGCTCGTGACCCTGTCCACGGACGCGGGCCGGGCCCCACACGTCCATGTGAAGCGTCTGCAGAGGAGCCTCTGTCAAGGGAAACTGGGAGGAGTGAGGGGCAGCCCGGAGCCGCCCCTCGACACAAGGGACACAGGAAGGTCCTGGCCCCGAAGGAAGGGGAGGGAGAGACCGGGGGAGACTAGAGACAAGGACACGGGAAGCCATGCCCCGAAGACGAGGCAAGGAGGGGTGGCCAAGACGGTGGTGCCACAAGAGAGTCTCGTGAGACAGGAGGCGACACGAGTAGGGGGCAGACTCAGGACCAGACCTGGATGCAGCAGCAAACACCTGACCCGACGCAGCTACCTGGCCAGACGCAGGGACTGGAGGAGACTCAATGGTCAGGGTGTAGAGACTCGACCCGGGCCGACGCGAAAACGTGGCTAGGTGTCGGCCTGTGCGGGCGTCCGAGCAGTGGGTCCCCCGCTGACTCGCAGGAGTAAACTGGTGAACCCCCGCATCCTGCAGGTCAGCACCACTCACCAAGTTCGTCGAGAACGAGGGGAGGTACAGACCCGACAGGGTGCCCGAGGGGGCAGCCGGACACGGGAGGACAGTGGAGAAGTGAGCGAGGACAGGACCCCCAGAGGGGTCAGCCAGGGAGACTGCAACCGGCCGACCAAGCGGCGTGAGTGTGGTGCGGTCTCGAAAGAAGGAGGGAGAAGCCCCTGAGTCAAGTGTGAAGGTGAGGGGGGCCGAAGCCGACGCAGTACCTGAGAGCGCAGCCTCACTAGTACCTGAGAGCGCAGACGCACTGGCACCTAGAGCAGTAGCCTCACAAGCACCTAGCGCAGCAGTACCAATGCCCGGGTCGGGCGGGAAACACCGGTAACAGTCACCCTCATCACTAATAGTCACAGCATACATGGCAGCAAGGATAGCATCAAAGTCAAGATCAAAGATAGCCACGCCAGCCCTAGACAGCTCTCCCCAGCGGGGGATCTCTGTGGCCTCCGGAAACTGCAGACGCCAAGCGTCCGTCAGGCGGCCAAAGCAGTGCTGGGTGGGGTGGGCACCCCCACACTGCTCACCCGCGCGGTCGCCGGTGCGAAGGACGTAGGTGCAGGGACCAAGTCCCCCACCACGCTGACGCTGCGTGTACCACTCACGGAGCTGCTGAGGGGTGGGGACGTCGCGAGAACGTTGCTGCTGCTGCTGCTGCTGGCGCTGACCACCCCCAGTGCCGCTCCACTGTGAAGTGCCACTCCGACCACCTCCACCACCTCCTCCTCCACCTACTCCACCTCCGCCACCGCCGCCACCCCCGCCGGTACCGCCGCCGCCGACGCCGCCTCCGCCACCACTGCTGCCACTAGCACCCCCACCCCCGCCACCTCCTCCACCGCCACCCCCACTCCCTCCGCCGCCTCCACCTCCACCGCCACCGCCCCCGCTAGCCCCACCCGCTCCCTTGCCCCCCTTGCCCTTGCCAAGGCGACGTCTCCCGCTAGGGGCAGACGCCGCACCGACCGACTCAAGACCAACGAGGTCGGCCGCAGCGGCAGAGGCGACAGAGGGCAAGAGAGGGGAAGGAGAACACACCTCAAAGATGGGGGCGCGGGGGTCACCTCGAGAGGCTCCTACAGCGACGATGCTCTTCTCCGCCGCTAGGAGGGCCTTCTCTAGGCTGTCGACTGTGAGAGTGGTGGGACAGACCGCGAGGAAGTGGTCCCGGACTACACGAAGGGAGTCGGGGAGGCGGGTGACTAGAAAGTAGAGAGTGATGTACATGGGGGGGGGGGTTCTTGGCGCAGAAGTCAGCAGGAAGCGCAGCGCGGTAGCGGGTGTCACTAGTGCGGAGATGCGTAATGAGATCAGCGACTGTGGGAAAGGCGGCAAGGTCAGGGAAGAGGAAGGGTAGCATGAGGCGGCTCAGTGCAGCAGTGGCAGGGGAGGAGTAGCGCGCAACTACAGCGTCGTACAAGGTCTGAGCACTCTTGTACTGACTAAAGTGCGCACGCTCAGAGGTAGGGAGGTGGCGACGCACAGCAAGACGTGCAGCAGCATCGCGCGTAGCCCACTGGGAGCGAACAGTAGGGTCAGCATCAGCAGCAGGGGCAGGGGAAGCGCCAGAGGTAAGGTCAAAGAGAGAGAGGTCGTCTGCCCTATCGCATTGTAAGAACTGTTGGAGGTCATCTACCCAGACCTCAAAGTCAATGGCCCGACCCTCAGCGTCAAAAGCGAGGACACTGGGGGTAGCCATGACGACAGACGCCTAGCAGTGCAAGCAGTAGGGTGAGGGCAGCGCAGTTAAAAAGAAGGCTCTGTGCTCACCAAACTGGGCAGAACGGGCCGTATGGAAGTAGGGCAGCTCAACGGCCGGCGGCTCGGCTGCGGGGCGGCTCGGCTGCTCGGCGGCTCGGCTGCTGGGCGGCTCGGCGGCTCGGCTGCTCGGCTGCTGGGCGGCTCGACGGCTCGGCAGCTCGGGTGTTGGACGGCTCGGCTGCTGGGCGGCTCGGCGGTTCGGCGGTCGGCTGCTGGGCGGCTCGGCGGCTCAGCGGCTGGGCGACCCGGCGGTCGGGCGGCGGGTGGGCCGCAGGTAGGGCGGCGGGCGTGCCGCAGGTAGGGCGTCTGGCGGGCCGCTAAATAGGGCGGCGGGGCCGTCGATGTAGGGTAGGGCGGCGGGGCCGCAACGTAGGGCGGCGGGGCCGCGAAGTAGGGTAGGGCGGCGGGGCCTCGACGTAGGGCGGCGGGGCCGTCAAAGTAGGGCGGCGGGGCCGCAACATAGGGCGGCGGGGCCGTCGAAGTAGGGCGGCGGGGCCGCGACGTAGGGCGGCGGCGCCGTCGAAGGGTAGGGCGGCGGGGCCGCGACGTAGGGTAGGGCGGCAGGGCCGCGACGTAGGGCGGCGGGGCCGTCGAAGTAGGGCAGCGGGGCCGCGACGTAGGGCGGCGGCGCCGTCGAAGGGTAGGGCGGCGGGGCCGCGACGTAGGGTAGGGCGGCAGGGCCGCGACGTAGGGCGGCGGGGCCGTCGAAGTAGGGCGGCGGGGCCGCGACTTAGGGCGGCGGCGCCGTCGAAGGGTAGGGCGGCGGGGCCGCGACGTAGGGCGGCGGGGCCGCTAGAGTAGGGCAGCGGGGCCGCGACCGAAAGGCGGCGCGACGGGCCGCTGGGAGGGGGGGGAGGGCGACACGACGGGTCGCTAAAAAAAACGCGCGCCTCGGGGCACGCTTCGGTGGGCCCAAGAAACAATCCCTAGGAGGGGACCTGCTCTGATTCCATGAGAAGAATGAGAACGAGAAATGGATGAACTATGAGCGAAGTGGGTACAAGTACTAACTCTAATTGGGTTGTACCCCCTATGGGATACCCCACTATAGCCTACACAAAAGCATAAGCTATAATGTTCTGACAGATCAGCCAATACATTAGCCACATGTCTGGAAAATCAGCCTCCAGAGCCTAAATCTGCCTTTTTTCTCTGACATCTGAGGGCCTGCTCCAGGCCAACCAATTCTCGTCGCGGAAATCATTCTAACGGTCGGCAAACTTATTGGCCCTATTCTGTTGGCGCACAGGCCATTCGCAGCTGCCGCACAGGTACTGCGGACAGCGTTTTCCTCGAAAGGAAGGGAGGGCTTGAAGCTTCGTCGAAGGGTTTACTAATCGACAAAACTACAAACTTTTTTCTCCCGCGTGCCCGAAAAAATGTTGTTACACACTGCCCTAGCACTCTTCAAAAGTCAAAATTTCGCGAACTGATGCACTAGATGTGGCAGTCTTACTGGTTAACCGTTGGATTCTTTTTAGGGTGAGTATTCCACCAAAACAATACCCCAAAATGGGCGTTTGTAGTCTGCCCGTTATTTGTTGTGCGTCTCTTCATTCCCCCCTCGACGAGCGCGTAGGGCTCGCACAGGCCATGCGGGAAAATTGCCAGTGAAACCAAGCTCGTGGAATCTTCTCAGCGCACAGAGAGTTATGCGTTCTTGCGCACGCATGAGTAATGCGCGCACAGCTCCCGCACCAGAGGTTCGGGAGACAATAACGATTTGGGAGGCTCGACGTGGGCTTTAAGCCTTGTTATGCGCATTCCGAGAATGTTCAGCGTTAGGGCTGAGCACCCCTTATGCGCCAACAGAACAGGGCCATTATTTCACGAACCCCCCGCAGTTGCGCTTGGGGTGGCAGGAAGCTGTATCGCACCACCGTGGGGGTTCCTGGCTTCGTGGAAGCCTTCAGCCGCACTGGTTGTGCTGTGCTGTGCTGTCCGCCGAGCATTTGCTTACGGGCAACAGAACAGGGCCTCGATTGGGCTGGACTCAATTCGCACTTGCGAAAACAAAGACGGCAAGAAGTTGGTTGGCGAAAGTCACCAACCTCTACAAGGGAATTTTCACGAGTGGTGGCAAGACGAACCCAACCCACCCTACTCAAGACGATTGTCTTGCCAAGGGAATGCAGATCGCGTAACGCAGCTTACTAGGGATCGGGAATATTATCGGTGCGCCTCTCATCCTTCTGAGACACGTGCGAGCTTCACACGACAATTAGAAGAGCGAAGAGGGTAACGCGGCTGCCTTCGCACCTCGCTGCGCCTCCCCTCGCAACCTTTCTCGTCGTCACCAGCTATCCACTCCCACTACCATTCCTCGCCCATGTCACATACTGCTCACCTCGCCAAGTCACTTTCGGCGGGCCCGCCCCGATAGCGGGCCCGCCCCGATAGCGGGCCCGCCATCTAACCGCCCGAGACTCCACAGTCTCGCAATCGTCGCGCGCAATTTCAATGTCGCCGCGCCTGTCTTCTCACACTCCCCGCCCTCTCCCTTCACGGCAAATGTTTGCCCTCGGTTTCTCAGACCTCCACTCAGTTTCTCGCTCATTTCCCCCCCTTCTTCCCCTCGTTTCCGCCCCTTCTTCCCCTCATTTCCGCCCCTTCTTCCCCTCGTTGATTAGCGGAGAGGACGAGGTGGTGAGAGGGCGAAGGCGATTTCACTGTATCCATGGGAACACCAGTAGCAGAGGCAGCAGCATCACAAGCTATGACCTCGTCTGCGTCTGCCGCTGCCCCCGCGCCCCCCAAGCTGCTGGCCGACGCGCTCCACCTCCTCGACGCGGCGTCGCGGCTCATCACGGACGTGCGCAGCGGCGTGGATGTGCTTATAGAGGGGGTTGTGACCGCAGCGGAAGCAGGAGGGGAGGGATGGGGAGGCGACGAGGAGGGCGGGGGCGGAGCGGCGGAGGTGATGGGGGAAGTGGAGAGGCGGATGCGCGGGACCGTGGCGCAGCTGCAGTCCGTTGGTGAGGGGGGAGGTGGGGGGGAGGAGGGGGGAAGGGGGGGGAAGGGGGGAGTGGGTGGGGGGGGGCTTGTTTATTTTCTATTCTAAGCAAGTATACGGGGGGCTGGTTTGGGGAGAGATGTGGACATGGCGAAGTTGCAATTCATTGGTAGGCTGGGCGGCAATGAGGCTGGGCGGCAATGAGGCTGGACGGCAACGAGGCTGGGCGGCAATGAGGCTGGGCGGCAATGAGGCTGAGTGCGGAAGTGGATGGGGTTGGGTCGGGAGGTTGGGTGGGGGGGTGTTGAGAGAACAGCAGCGAGAGTGGAAATGGTGCGGGTGATGAGTAGGGCCGGCGGATGGGGAGACTTGCGGCACAGTTGCAATGCAACGCACTGGTGAGGCGAGGAAGGGGGGTGGTGGGACGTGCATGGTGGGACGTGCATGGTGGTTACTGGAGGTGCGTCAAGGGGTGATGGAAATAGAGGGGGGGGAGGGTGGGGAGAGAGGCGGGACGACAGGATAAGGTGCTTCCACCCTTGCACCTTGCTTCCGCCCTTGCACATGCCACTTCCTCCCAGCGGGCACAACTCCCTGTTGCTCGTCTTTGGAGCTACAAGTGTGTTCCACTGTGTGCATAGTCCAGTGTGTGCATAGTCCAGTGTGTGCATAGTCCAGTGTGTGCATAGTCCAGTGTGTGCATAGTCCAGTGTGTGCATAGTCCAGTGTGTGCATAGTCCCGGCGCGCCTGTCTCTCGCGAGAGCACCATCCTATCTTCACGCACCCCGTTTCTTTCCCGCTCCTCTCATTCACTCCTCTCATGCGCTCCTCTCATGCGCTGCTCTCACGCGCCAGGCACGCAGTTAGCGCAGATGGGCGCGTGGGACGCACACGGCACGCCTTCCCCACCCGCCGCCACTGCAGGCGGAGGGGACGGGACCGGGGGAGAGGAGGGAAAGGCGGCAGTTGGATTGCATGGTGATTCGAACGAGGGAGGTGAGGGAGTTAGTCGGGGTGGAGTTTCGAGGAAGGTGGTGGGGGGGGGTGGGCAGGCGGCGCTGGTGTGCGCGGATGGCATGCTGGTGAGCTACGCGTGGAAGCGCCACATCGCTGCTCATGCCGCCACCACCGCTGCCACGCGCACCGGGTGAGGGGGGAGGAAGTGTGCTGCGTGTGTGAGTGTGTGCTGCGTGTGTGTGAGTATGCTGAGTGTGTGCTGAGTGTGTGCGGCGTGTGTGTGTGGGTGCTGCGTGTGTGAGTGGGTGTGTGTGTGTGTGTGTGCCTGCTGCGCGTGTGTGTGTGTGTGTGTGTGTGTGTGCTGCGTGTGTGTCTGTGTGTGTGTGTGTGCTGCGTTTGTGTGTGTGTGTGTGTGTGTGTGTGTGTGTGTGTGTGTGTGTGTGTGTGTGCTGTGTGCGTGCGTGTGTCTGTGTGCCTGTCTGTGTGTCTGTGTGTCTGTGTGTCTGTCTGTCTGTGTGTGCTGCGTGCTTGTGTGTGCTGCGTGCTTGTGTGTGCTGCGTGCTTGTGTGTGCTGCGTGCTTGTGTGTGCTGCGTGCTTGTGTGTGCTGCGTGCTTGTGTGTGCTGCGTGCTTGTGTTGTGCTGCGTGCTTGTGTGTGCTGCGTGCTTGTGTGTGCTGCGTGCTTGTGTGTGCTGCGTGCTTGTGTGTGCTGCGTGCTTGTGTGTGCTGCGTGCTTGTGTGTGCTGCGTGCTTGTGTGTGCTGCGTGCTTGTGTGTGCTGCGTGCTTGTGTGTGCTGCGTGCTTGTGTGTGCTGCGTGCTTGTGTGTGCTGCGTGCTTGTGTGTGCTGCGTGCTTGTGTGTGCTGCGTGCTTGTGTGTGCTGCGTGCTTGTGTGTGCTGCGTGCTTGTGTGTGCTGCGTGCTTGTGTGTGCTGCGTGCTTGTGTGTGCTGCGTGCTTGTGTGTGCTGCGTGCTTGTGTGTGCTGCGTGCTTGTGTGTGCTGCGTGCTTGTGTGTGCTGCGTGCTTGTGTGTGCTGCGTGCTTGTGTGTGCTGCGTGCTTGTGTGTGCTGCGTGCTTGTGTGTGCTGCGTGCTTGTGTGTGCTGCGTGCTTGTGTGTGCTGCGTGCTTGTGTGTGCTGCGTGCTTGTGTGTGCTGCGTGCTTGTGTGTGCTGCGTGCTTGTGTGTGCTGCGTGCTTGTGTGTGCTGCGTGCTTGTGTGTGCTGCGTGCTTGTGTGTGCTGCGTGCTTGTGTGTGCTGCGTGCTTGTGTGTGCTGCGTGCTTGTGTGTGCTGCGTGCTTGTGTGTGCTGCGTGCTTGTGTGTGCTGCGTGCTTGTGTGTGCTGCGTGCTTGTGTGTGCTGCGTGCTTGTGTGTGCTGTGTGCTTGTGTGTGCTGCGTGCTTGTGTGTGCTGCGTGCTTGTGTGTGCTGCGTGCTTGTGTGTGTGTTCTGTCTCAGAGGCGCCCTCTCCCCTCTCCGCCCATCGGTTCCTCTTCCCTGCATCTCGCTGTCCGCCTTCAAACCTCATACGCCGCTGCTCCCCTACGTTCCCATCGCACTACCACACCATGGCCACTCCATGCATCTTCTTCAACTACTCTTCTTCTCTTCCCTCTCCCCATCTCCTCCTCCCCCTTCTGCCCCTCTCTCTCTATCTCCGTTTCCCTCTCTCCACCTCTTCCTCGGCACCCCTCCCCCCACCAGAGTGGCGCTCGCGGCATTTCAGCGCCACAGGCAGCGCTGCTTCCCGGCCCTCACGGCGCCGCCTCTCACGCTCACTGCACTCGCGCACCACCTCGCGCAGCGACCCACAGCCTGCCCTGCGGATGCCGCAGCAGTGGGTGCTGGCGGCGGTGGCAGTGGTGGCGAGGGTGCTGCGGGGCCCACCAGTGCTGCCGCTGCACCTGCCCAGCCTGCTGCTCACGGCTCCGCCACCACTGCTGCTGCTGCCGCTGCTGCCGTGAAGGTGGAAGGGGCTACAGTGGCTGGGGGGGAAGGGGCGGGTGGTGGGGGTGGGGAAGGGCAGGTGCAGGCAGCAGATGGTGGTGAAACTGGGGAAGGCACATGCGCTGCCACCGATACTGCTACTGCCGCTGCTGCCCCTCATGCTGCTGCTGCTGCTGCTGCTGCTGCTGCTGGTGCAACAACATGCTCAGAAGGAGCAGCAGAAGGCACCTCTGTCAACACAGGTGCTTCTGGGGAAGGTACACCTGCAACTGCTGCCGATACGCCTGCTGCCGCGTCCGAACCTGGCCGCGATGGCCCGGGACCAGGATTGGGCCGAGCCACCCCACCAGCAGGCTTGGGGGTGATCGGGGCGTTAGGTGCGGTTGGACTGGGTCGGGGGAGGGTCGGGGGACTGGTTCGGGGCCTTGGGGCGTTTGGGCGGATGGGGGGGATAGGAGGAAGTATTGGGGGGAGTATCGGGGGAATGGGGGCAGGGGCGGGGGGAGGTGTGGGGGGGGGGAATGCGATGGAGGCGGACGACCTGGGGGGGGGCGATGAGATGATGATGCTGGGGGGCGACTTTGGCGGCGAGGACATGGACGTGGATGGGCGCGGCGCGGGGGATGGGGGGGACGGGGCAGGCGCCCAGGCAGAGGAGCAGGGGGAGGCAGGTGGGGCGGAAGGAGGGGAAATGGGAGGCGGGGAGAGGAATGAAGGGCAAAGGCCGGTCTCTGGTGCTGGAGAAGGAGGTGCGGACGAGGGAGAAGGGGGTGGGGCGGAAAAGGCAGAGGGGGCAGGGGCGAAGGGAGGTGAAGGGGGGAGTGAAAGCAAGGCAGGGGTTGGTGGTGTTGGTGGTGGTGGTGGAGGGGAAGTTTCAGGGCGTGCAGGTGGGGCGAGAGGAGAACCAATGAGTGGCGGTGGTGATGTGGACGCTGCCAATGTGGGTGGCAGTGGCGATGGTGGTGGGACTGGTGCTGATGCGCATGTTGGCGCAGCGGGAGCCAAGGGCGTGAAGAGGAGGCGGGGCGAGGGGGGCGGCATGGAGGGCGGCATGGAGGCGTGCAGCGACCCCGTGCTGCGCGCCGTGCTGCAGCGCGTGCGTGTGGCGTGCCCCTCCTTGCACCTCGCCCTGCTGCGCCGCTCCTCCTGGCCGACCCACCTCATGGCGCACACTGGCACATGCGCTGCTGCTGTGCACGATGGGGGGGGAAGGGCAGGGCGAATGGAGAGGGGGGAGAGATACGAGGGAGGAGAGAATAGGGAGAGGGAGAAGGGGCAAATGAAGCAGGAGAAAGTGAAGCAGGAGCAAGGAGGGGCGAGAGAAGAAGCACCCCCTTCAAGAAAAGCTCCTTTGGAATTGCAAGCCTCGCCCGCTCAAAGGCGAAGGCGGGGGCAAGGGGGAGCGCAGATCATGTGTCCTCCCGGAGTGATTGAGGCGAGGGTTCCTGGAGCATTCCGTGCAGTTATCTCCCTCATGCCAGCTGGCACCTCACGAGTGGATGGGGTCGCTGTGTTTGGGACAGACGAGGTGAGTGTGTGCCGGGTGTGTGCCTCGAGTGTGTGCCGGGTGTGTGCCTCGAGTGTGTGCCGGGTGTGTGCCTCGAGTGTGTGCCGGGTGTGTGCCTCGAGTGTGTGCCGGGTGTGTGCCTCGAGTGTGTGCCGGGAACGCATCACCCTCCCTGCTATGTCGGGAAACCGTTCGGCATACGGTACACATACGAACTATATGCCACCGTACATACGTGATACGCTGATTTCCAGCACACGGAGTGTCGAGCAGTTAAAAAATATATCTTCAGGCCGGCAAAAGAACTTGAGTGGAGGTGAGACACGGTTTGTGTTAGGCACGAAATACCAGATGCGCGCTCTGGGTGCGAGTCACTAGATCCGCACACCTGCAAGTGCTCACATGCTTGTGAGGCTGTCTGACATTGGGTAGGGGAAATATGGATGCATTCAACACTTGAGTTTGTGCCTTGCAAAAGTGTGCAATTTTTACGCAAAGTTCTTTTCATTAATTTGCTTTTTCAACAGGCTGCCCAACCGAGCGTATCGCTTTTTTCGGCGCGAATTTTCGTATATGCGATAACGAATACGCGTGATTTGTTTCTTACCCTGACATTCGTTTTCAACATAGCCCCCCCTGTCCCCTCCCCATGTGCCGTGCGTTGCTAGGTGGGGCCGCATGTGCATGCGTGGGGGCAGTCGCACCACATGGCCTTCCAGCTCGTCACTGTGAGTAACGTGCCATGCAGCGATGCCGTGCAGCGATGCCGTGCAGCGATGCTATGCAGCTTGACATGTCCATTATCTAAATGTATCCTACTACATGTTGTATTATCTTTTATACAACATGCAAATGCTAGATTAGGTGTAGGGTTGTTGGTTGTACCTTCACCCACAATTTGTGGATGCAGCTTGGTTGGGTTCCCAACAATTATTGGACCTCCAATAATGTTGGTCCAACCAAACCAACAATGATTGAAGCCACCAATAATTGTTGGCCAAGCTCACGCTTTACCATCATCTTCACCTATGTATACCGTCGCTCCTTGAGCCCATTCTCAATTTAATTATTGCTTCTTTCACCACACTCTCTCTGTCCATCTCTTTTCCCTCCCTCTGTCGTACCCTCGTTTCACCTCTCTCTTCCCGTATTTGATCTCCTATCTCGGCCCCATCAGGCACAAGCACGGCAAGTGGTGCACAAGCTGCGCTGTGCGGCCTCACCGCATCCCTCCGCAGCAGCATGCACCACTCCGCCTCTGCAAGGCCTTCTGGTGAGACCTCTTCAACCCGCTCCCTTCCTCTTGTGAGCTCGTGAGCTGAACTATTGATTAGTTAGCGTTACCTCTAGCTTGGGCTGGGCTGGCAAGGGCTAGGCTGGAAGAAAGGGGCCCCAAAATTTTAATGAAATTGCCTGAAATTGGCCTGGTTGTTGGAACTTGGGGTGACCACGTTAGCTGAGCATCAAAGGTTGTGAAGTGGGCAAGCCATCCTTGAGCGTGTAACACACAACACAAGCTACGCCACCACTATTATTCCAGCAAGCGCCGGCACTAGGAGGCGCGGTTCGGCCCAACGCAGCCCTGTTGCGCCGCTGCCCATTCCCTTGGCTAACGCGTTCGCTGCCACCGCCGCTTCTCTTTCCACTGCTCTTCCCGCCGCTCCGCTAGGCGCTCCTTGTGCTGAGCTCCGCTAGGCGCTCCTTGTGCTGAGCTCTGCTAGGCGCTCCTTGTGCTGAGCTCCGCTAGGCACTCCTTGTGCTGAGCGGCAGACAGAAGGGTGGAGGAAGAGAACAATCATTTGTGATCCACTCGTGCCTGCTGCATTCCCTCTGCCGTGCTTTCCCCAGGAATGGCTGCACTCCTTCCGCTCCCTCTTCCAGCAGCCCTGCAGGTAGGCAGTGCAGGTAGGCAGTGCAGGTAAGGCAGTGCAGGTAGGCAGTGCAGGTAGGCAGTGCAGGTAGGCAGTGCAGGTAGGCAGTGCAGGTAGGCAGTGCAGGTAGGCAGTGCAGGTAAGCAGTGCAGGTAGGCAGTGCAGGTAGGCAGTGCAGGTAGGCAGTGCAGGTAGGCAGTGCAGGTAAGGCAGTGCAGGTAGGCAGTGCAGGTAGGCAGTGCAGGTAGGCAGTGCAGGTAGGCAGTGCAGGTAGGCAGTGCAGGTAGGCAGTGCAGGTAGGCAGTGCAGGTAGGCAGGTAGGCAGTGCAGGTAAGGCAGTGCAGGAGTGGCGCTTGTGCAAGTGTGCACGTGTTTCTGTTTTCCCTGTACGCTCCCTGTCTGCTTGCACGCACCAAGCCGTCAAACCGCGTTAGTTGTTCTCTGACCCATGCCTATCCACTATCACCCTCCACCATCCTTCCACTCATTTCCGTCTGCCTCCCATACCACCTTCCCTCAGCCCCTATGCTGCAAGCAGTGCTGCTCTCCCCTACTTTCTGCCTTGTTCTGTCTGTGCTGACGGGGGTATTGCCTCATCCACATTTTCTCTCAAGTCCCCACCGCCTCCCCAACCTGCTCATCCCCCGCACACACCACAGCGCATGTCATCGCATCATCGCGCTGCACCATCCCTCCCGCCACCTGCTGCCGCCAGTTGTCCGCCCCTTGCATGCCCCCGCCTCTGCTGCTCCCGCTGCACCTGCCACTGCTCACACTGCCTCTGGTGCTGCTGCCACTCATGCCTCTCCCGCTGCTGCTGCTGCTGCTGCTGCTGCTGCTGCTGCTGCTGCTGCTGCTGCTGCTGCTGCTGCTGCTGATGCTGGCACTGAATCAGGAGCTGCTCAAAGGGGAGACTTGCTGGTGGAGAGAGCAGGCATGGGGAGCGAGGAGGCAGTGGGAGTGGTGGCATGGCACTTGGGATGTGCGATTCCTTGTGTGTAACACCATACATACCGTACCTACAAATATGGAAGGTTCGAGTCATCTGGAAGGCCGTTGGGGCAAGTCTCGTGTCGTTGCGATCAGAACCTACACAGAATTCATCGAGTAAATTACTCTGTTTCTTTGAGAATCAAAGCCTAGCTTATGGATCACACAATATCCAAATGAAGGCTCTAAATTAGCTACATGAAAGATTTCATCAACCCTATCAACACACCCCACTGCAGCCTTCACAAGATTGTCGTTACGGTATCCCAACTTGGGTCCTTACTTGACCCTTGTACCATCCCCTCTCCGCAACTACCAGCAAACCCCATCATCATGCCAGCACTAACACAACCTGCACATGCGCCTGACATGATATCAAGCCCATGCCCATCCCAGCTTGGGCCACTATGAGCGGGAGGTGGAGTTGAGCAGAGCCCTCACTCGTCACCTTCACCTTCTCCTGCTGCTGCACCCGCTTCACCAGGTGCCGCTTCCTCGCCTCCTGCCTGCTCTTCCCCCACCACTTCAGCAGCAGCATCACCCGCTTCCCCTGCCACACCTTCAGGAGCCTCGGCAGGCTCCGCACCCTCTGCACCCTCTGCGGCCTCTGCGGCGTGTACAACCTGTGTGGGAGCAGCATCTTCCGCGTGCCCCTCAGGCACAGTGTCAGCAGCATGGGCAGCATCGTCGGCAGCAGGGCCAGCATCATTGGCAGCAGCAGCATCATCAGTATCGGCAGCAGCAGTGGCCGCAGCAGCCGCCGCAGCCTCAACAGCAGCAGCGACAAAGTCGTCAGCATATGGCTCGCTCTCCCTCTGCCCGTCTTCCTCAACCACCGCCACAGCAGCCCCATGTTCCATCTCAGGGTCCGTCTCCCCATGCCCTCCCCTGTTATCCTCGCTCGCATCACCTCCCATCCCTTCATTCCCCCCGTCCTCTGCCTCGCCACGCTCACCACCGCCACCCCCACCTTCACCTGCCAGGCCACTCGCCACAGTCTCTGCCTCGTCGTGCTGCATGTGCCCACCATCCGCTCCCTCCTCTTGCTGCGCCTGCCTCTTGTGCGCCTGCTCCTCCTCTTCCCCCACTTCCACCTCCTCCACCTTCCTCTTCGCCCCAACCATTCCCTCCCCAGTAACTCCTCCTTCCACTCCTTCACCTACTGCGTTCGCCTGCTCCATTGCGCCACCACCGTCGCCCCCCGCCTCTTCCCCGTGCCCCGCCGCCCCCTCACCCGCGGACGTCCCCTCACCCTCGCCTGGAGCACCACCGCTGCTGTCTCCCGCCTCCCCCGCCCCACCGGCGCCGCTCATCGCCACCTTGTCCCACACCATGGGCTGCTCCTGCGCCGCCGCCACCTCCGCGCTGCGCATCGCCTCGCGCAGCCACGCGTGTCGGTTCCGCGCCGCGTTCGGCTGCGTCCACGCAAGCTGCCGCCGCCCCTGCCGCCCTTGCCCGGCGGCAACCGCACCGTACCCAACGGCGTCAGCGCGCGTGTCCACCGCGCCCATGCCGGCCGCCGCGTTCGCTGCGCCGACCTGCGCGCCATGCCCCCCCGCCGTGGCCGCGCTGGCGGAGAAGGATCCGGTAGGCTCGAGAGTGATGCCCGGGTGAACCACCATCTCCGACCCCACGGTGGGTGGCGCCAGCATGGCGGCGGCGCCGGCTCCGCTGGGGTCGTACTCCGCCACGGGCACGGCGACGGCGTGCTGCATCCCCGCGCCACTGCCGCGCCCGGACATCCCCGCATACCAGTTCTTCCGCCCCCACTTGTGCCGCCCGCGCGATCCGAGGCCCGACGTGGGGCCCACAGGCGCACTCGCGATCTCCCCGCCATGAGCGGCGCCCAGAGCGCCCGCCGCGCGCTCGGCGGCGAAGACGGTGGTGTAGGCGACGGGGAGCGTGTCGTCCGCCACGCCGTCGCGCCCCATGGAGGGACTCACGGACGCGGGCGCGAAGCGCAACGGCCGCGCGGGCGGGTGCAGCGGGCCGACGACGCCCGCCTTGCGACGATTCTCGAGCTCCGCCTCCCACGCTCCGCGCAGCGCTGTCTCGCGCTCCATCCAGCCGGGCATGGCTCGGCGCGGCGCGAAGAGGCGGTCGATCTCGGAGTAAGCGGCCTCGAGGAAGAAGGAGACGACGTCCATCTTGGTGACGGTGATGCCGCCGCTCGCCAGCGACATGCACTCCTTGAGACCCTCGATCAGCGCGAACAGCGCGGGCGACAGCCGCACCACCGCTTGCTTGCCGTCCGCGCGCTTGTGGTAGTCGCCCTTCCGCCGCATGGTCGCGGTCAGAATGCCGGCGTTGCCGCCCATGGCGGCGTTGGGATCCATTCTGATGCCGGCGTACTGAGATGGGTCCATTCAATGCGCGGCTCGTAAAGTTGAATCCAGCAAAACGGCTGCTGCTGGAGGGGAAATTGAGTGATCCCTGGGGTAACTAAAGTTACGCGGTTGGAGATGCAAATTGCGAGAGAGGATTCGTTGCTCCAGAAGATGCGCTGACAGCGAGCTACTGCGACAGTGAGAAACTACGAGGGAAAACGAGGAGCGGTTACCAAGAAACCTGGAGTTGGGAGAAAGCAAGATATCTGTAGGAGAGTTGTATCTGCAGTTACCAAGAGCGCCTGGCTTGTCAAGTTACGGGCTAACCCTAGGGTTTCCCTCAGGTGCTTCGCCTCACGTTACCCAACTAACCAGCTGTGGAGTGATGGCGAGATGTTGCCCCCTTCCCCCGAGGATGTTGCGCGAGAGTGTTTGCGGGGCACTCGGACGGGGAGGGGGAATATCTGGATTGGGAGGGGCGGGATGTGTTTGCGTGCGGGGAGGGTGTGTGGTTGGCGTGGCGGAAGTGACGATAAGAACTGACCAGACGATAAGGTCGCTGTCTACGATGCCGTGCGAACATCATTGCCGCGATGTAATACACAGCCAATAGGAAATGCTGCACAGAAAAATAGGCGACGATCACGACGGTAATGGATGGGAGAGGGCTTCGCGAGAATCACTTTTGTCTTCGCGCACCGGAATTTCAGCAAGGACACCTCGATCTGTCATAGACGTTCTGAACCAATAGAAAGCGGCTCGAGCATAAAAAATTCCCCCCCAAAGGGATCAAAGTGAGGTTGCGTCACAGGATCGATGTGTGGGGTGTACAGCACCGCCATTGTTATCTCTGAATGGTTAAAACTATCAAAAACTCACCAAAATGGTCACCACGATTGTATCCCCTCCGCTTGGAGTGATCATGAGATTGGTGCGGAGAGTCACTCTACAACGGGATGTGGACTATGTAAGGTTGTGCGGGTGATTGTAGCATTGTATTCTCGTTCTCACTACTTGCTTTGTTCACAAAAAGATTTCGCAAGAGTTTCATGACGAATTAACAACAATACACTACAATTAGGCATGCAAATCGATATAGCAAGAAAAGGCATTGCAGCACC